AAGTGAAATGCATATAAATTCCAAAAACACACATGCACCTGAATATGCTGCTTTCTGAGAATCAGATAAGCAGCTGAATGGAGGCAGAGAGAACTGGTTTAAGTCAGAACCACAGCCAATCAGATTTCCAACACACACACACACAAACACAAGTGGGCCCCTAAAGGTCTGTCACCAAATAAACATGCCTACACATTTAACAGATGCGGTATTTAGAGTAACAACAGAGAGTCACATGACCACTGAGACACGCACACACTGAGACAGGTTGTCTTTTCATTGTACTTCACCTCAGTGTTAATTCTTCTCAAGTTCTTCATTTAATTTCTTTTAAACTACATCCCCCACAATGCAAAGTCACAGTGTGTCGGCTCTCAAGACCCCTGACCTCTTTACAGCCTACGTGAAATAATTTCATAGGCACTCACAAACACACACACATTTACCTAGGGGACTTTTATGATTTTTATATAAACATATTATAATTACTACTGCTACTGACTTCTACAACTAAAATAAAATGTTTTGTAATTTTAGAAGAAGAAAAAAACATGGTTTATGGATTATTTTTTTCCAATTGAAAAAGTCCATAGTTCTCCCCCAAAGGGAGGTTTTGTACAATTTAGCTCACTTCTGTAGACAAAATTATACCTCAAGTACAGCTAAGTAAACACACCCACCCACACACACGTTTACCTAGTTATCTAGCTATTCTTCTTACATAAAGTTAATTATAATAGCAACAAACTAGCCCTAAGCCTAAAAGATACATTTGTTTATGACATACAGTATATGAGTCATTTTTACCTTTTGGATATACCTAAAGTGAGGTTTTCATCAGATGTAGCTGCTTTTTGGAGACAACTTAACATCACATTAAAGTTGTAGCTGAAGCACTTCCCTATTACATGTTTTAAGACTTAATTTCCATACATTGTTGGTAGAAAAACAAGATTCTACTGCTCTAGAAACAATTATTTGCTTATGAAACGGTGATTAATCTGTAAAGTGAAGTGTGTGTCTTGTCCGTTAATGTTGTGCCATTCCCCTCTGAAAAAACGTACACGTCTACACTCATTACACTAAGCATGCAAGGCTGGAATGGGCCTTCAAATCTTTTTGATTCGTTGTTTTTTCTCTTAGATTGAGCCATCTCATTGTCAGAAACCTGATTCTCTCACACACACTAAATTATAGCACACCCCCTGAGTGCAGTTACACAACACACATACACACACAAAAGACCCGCAGAGCAACTTTCAACACAGTTTTCGCAACACAGGGACATTCTAACCTTACAACTGTAAGATGGAAAAAAGAAAGAAAAAGGGAGGGAGGGAAAGAGAGATGTCAATTTAACTCTATGAAAATAAATAAGGTCAGAGGGGAGAACGTGATCGCTGGACCATCTGTGAGAAGATGACACACAGAGAACAAGGAAGGAAAACTGACAGAACATGAGACCGTGAAGGAGAGGATCACAAAAAGACTGAGAATGTAGGAACTTACCTGCGCTTTTAGTAGCTGTCAAAGAGAGTCTATGTGTTGCATTAATCAAAGGCACAGCAGATCAGCCACATTCATCTCTGTTTCTCTGTATTTCACCCGTTATCGTGTCTGTTCTCACAGGTCTTGACAGTCCAGAGTGAGAAGTTTCTCTTCTTTTTCTCTTTTGGTTTCTATCTCCAAACTGTTTCACTTCCCCGTCCCTGCTGTTCGTTCCCCTGCTTGTCTCCTTCACTGGCAACGAGGAGGAGGAGGGAGGGAAAAGGAGGGAGACCGGGCGGAGAAAGAAAGAGAGAGAGAGAGAAAGAGAGAGAGTAATTAGCGCTAGTCTCTGTACCTGCCTCTCACTGACATAATCTTCACATTCCTCTGCTGTGAGGAAGAAAAAAATCTGTAGGAATACTGAACCAGTCTGTAATGCCAAAGGTCAAAGACAAACTTTTCACAAAACTATATATATATAAATATATAAGGAACATGAAATCTTTAAAAACTGATAAAAAGAAAGAGAGTGTGTGTGTGTATGTGTCAGTCTGTGTCTACAGCAGTTAGTACCAGGAAATGTTTCGTCTCACATCTTTCTCACCGGGCTGGTACGAGCAACCTGTTCCTTTCTCTCTCTGTGTGTGTGTGTGCGCCTCAGAAACTCACCAAACCAGAATGCTTCCAGCCTCTCGGATTGGAAATGCTATCCTCCCTCAACCTGGAGACAGGCCAGAGCAGCATTCCACACACACACTCACACACACACACCTTATACACATATCAGAGCTCACCATCCCATTTGGTTTCTCTGATTTACGCAAAAAAGGCATCAAAGTGACACAAAGATGAACACACACAGTTTCTCATAGACCTCTGGGAATGTTTGAATGAAATTGGAAAAAAAAAAGTTCCATCTCCAAAATAACCATTTCACCCAGTTCACTGACCTCTAGCTTGTGTGTGTGTGTGTGTGTGTGTGTGTTTCGAATTAAATGAATTAATGAAATGTGGTCATACAGAAGCAACAACTGTTATGTTTATATTAAAAAAAGAACTGTCATGTCTGCAAAATAAACAATAAATTTATCAATAAGTAACACTTGTCAAAAAAAATAAATTACATTCTATCTCATCATAAACTTGCAACACTTTATTTTAATGTGACAGTTACTTGTTACATGTACTTACAACAGTAATAACAGTAAATTATGCATAATTAAAAACGACTAACGTAAAACCAAACAATAAACTTAACCTTATAATATAATAAGTACATGCAGTTAATTAATATTACTCAGTATTTATTTGTGTAATTACACTGTAACAACATAAAATAAAGTGTAACCAACTCAGATGAGCAAAAAAAAAGATATTTGATTTTTTTTCCATACAATGAATTCATCGGTTTTAAACTTGTGAAACATGGAAACATTCTTCAAAATATCTTCCACAGAGTAAAGTTAGTCATACACTGTAATTACTGTATGTGTGTATATATATATATATATATACTGTATATATATACAGTATATATAACATCTTTCTCACCGGGCTGGTACGAGCAACCTGTTCCTTTCTCTCTCTGTGTGTGTGTGTGCGCCTCAGAAACTCACCAAACCAGAATGCTTCCAGCCTCTCGGATTGGAAATGCTATCCTCCCTCAACCTGGAGACAGGCCAGAGCAGCATTCCACACACACACTCACACACACACACCTTATACACATATCAGAGCTCACCATCCCATTTGGTTTCTCTGATTTACGCAAAAAAGGCATCAAAGTGACACAAAGATGAACACACACAGTTTCTCATAGACCTCTGGGAATGTTTGAATGAAATTGGAAAAAAAAAAAAGTTCCATCTCCAAAATAACCATTTCACCCAGTTCACTGACCTCTAGCTTGTGTGTGTGTGTGTGTGTGTGTGTGTTTCGAATTAAATGAATTAATGAAATGTGGTCATACAGAAGCAACAACTGTTATGTTTATATTAAAAAAAGAACTGTCATGTCTGCAAAATAAACAATAAATTTATCAATAAGTAACACTTGTCAAAAAAAATAAATTACATTCTATCTCATCATAAACTTGCAACACTTTATTTTAATGTGACAGTTACTTGTTACATGTACTTACAACAGTAATAACAGTAAATTATGCATAATTAAAAACGACTAACGTAAAACCAAACAATAAACTTAACCTTATAATATAATAAGTACATGCAGTTAATTAATATTACTCAGTATTTATTTGTGTAATTACACTGTAACAACATAAAATAAAGTGTAACCAACTCAGATGAGCAAAAAAAAAGATATTTGATTTTTTTTCCATACAATGAATTCATCGGTTTTAAACTTGTGAAACATGGAAACATTCTTCAAAATATCTTCCACAGAGTAAAGTTAGTCATACACTGTAATTACTGTATGTGTGTGTATATATATATATATATATACTGTATATATATACAGTATATATACATTAATTTTTTTAAGTTGAAGTAAATTTAAATAAATAAATACATACATACATATTGGAGTACATTTTAACAAGAAAATACTATTTTAGTCTCTCTACAAAATATCATGTTCACTGTTCAGTTCAAAGTGTTGCCTTAATTATTTGTGAAATTTACTAGCAATTACTTTTTTTCAGTGTACAGGATTGTAACTACATGAGAATTTTCTTCTTTTGGGTGAACTAGCACTTTAATATCATTCACTAATATGTGCCATTGTTTTCCCAGGCAAACAAACAGTTAATCTAACTAGTCACTGATTAGAATGGTTCACTAAACCATTGATTTCTTGACTTGGCTGGAAATAAAAAATAAATGAACCAACCCCCATGTGTGAAATACAAGTCTCTGAGAAGAGTTCTATTTATTCTCACACACAGAAACGCCTTTCATAAAATCAATGCATTCAACACACCTTCTTCTATCTCAATAGACAGACAATGCAGAGAGAAAACAAGAGACAGAGAGAGAGATCGGAAACACTTCCTCAATGTTGGATATGACAAAGGCTTGCAGGTGAATTTCACATAGGCAAAAGCAGTAGGAGTGGACAAAATTACATTCCTCATCTCTGGTTGCAGAGTCACTGGGCACTACAGTGACACAGCAAAATGAACACGAAATAGACCAGGAACTTTATTTTATTTCATTTGATTTTATCATCACTTTAAGGCAGAAACGAGCTTCCATACATCCTAGTCAACAAATGACACGTTTTAATCTAGTATTGGACTTTAACATGAATGTAAAGTTGAAGCTGCATTACAAAAATGAATAAATGCAATCAAACGGTTATCTGAAGGGGGATGTGTGCATGCGTGACGCAACTGAGCCAAACTGATAAGTTAGATATACTTTACCAATCCTAGAAATTCATAGAACAATTTCTGAAGAGAAAGACAGGTGGAGAGAAAAAGAAATGAAACATTTAAAGGAAAAGGAGAGAGAGAACATGTGGTAGGGTCAGTATGTTTTAATGAGCAGTTTTGTTCTGTTACTGGGTGGATTTAAGACTCTGGCCATTAGAATGTTAATCTGCTTAAAACCAATCACACTCCTGCCTGAAGAGGGGGAGTACAATCACACACTTTCTCCCACACACACACACACACACATTCATTAACATTCAGCCCAAAAACATACACACAATAGGTCATTTGCAGACCCAAAACATACATACACCACCCCCTCAACCCAAAACACATACACACACCCAGAAGAAATATTTATTGCTTCTAGTCAATGGAATTTTCATTTAAGTTGAATTTACTCTACTGTTCAAAAGTTTTGGGTCGGTAAGCGTTTTTAATGGTTTTGAAAGAAGTCTCTTGCTCATCAAGGCTGCATTTATGTCAACAAAAATACAGTGCAAACAGTTAAATAGTAAAATGTCATTACAACTGTTTTCTGTTCATACACTGTATTTTAAATTGCAATTTAATTCCTGTGATGGCAAAGCTTAATTCTGAGCAGCCATTACTCCAATATGATGATTTGGTGTTCGTGAAACATTTGTTTATCACAACTGAAAAATGCCATTATTGTTTAAAAAATATGGACACTATTATAATTTTTTTTCAGGATACTCTGATGAACAAAACATCTTAAAAACAGCATTTATTTTAAATTATTTTAAAATGTAACATTACAAATGTCTTTACTGTCACTTTTGATTAACTTACTGCATCCTTGATCTATAAAAGTATTAATTTCTTTCAAATAAAAGAAATTTGAAAGGTAGGAAAAACTCCTTCCTTTGAATGAAAATTAAAAGAGACAGTTGTGAAATAATAATTTTGTATTTATTTATTTATCATACTGAAAGATTATACTGAACTTTTGATTGCAGGAATTGTTATCTTGGCACAACTAAGCAAATTCATGACGTGTTATGTGAAATTACTAGGGTATTTTTCTCCATATGAAAAAATAATTAAAAATAGTCTCCATTTTCTTCCTACTTAATATCATTGCTGTTTAGAAAAAAACAACTGATATATATATATATAATATATTATTTTTTATTTTTTTTGAAATATTGGGTAAAGTGTGTTTAATGAATAGATGTTAATTATCTTTCAGTCCTCATCATTGTGCAGTTCCCAAATGCACATTATTAAAATGGTTTAATGATTCCAGAGATTGGTGATGTGGATATCAGCTCTTCATTTACCGCAAACTTTCCCACTTTAACAAAAGATGAAACAAAATAGCAAAGAGTATATTTTGACTGCATGCGGGTGACCTTGTCCTCTGGCTGCACTTCTGAACTGTTATCAAAGCGGATCCCTCTTTGTCTCAGCCTTGCACAAATCTCATACATATAACCCTATACTCTCAAATCCCGAGACGTTCTTACTAAAAAGTAAACTTGTAGTAAAATAAATGGAACTTCATCTGCAGTACTGCATCTGAAAAGTAAACTTACAAGTAAACTCGTAACGTAATCGGCAATACTGCATCTAAAAAGTAAATTTACAGGTGAATTTGTAGTATAATAGATGTAACATAATAGGCAATACTGCACCTAAAAAGTAAACTTGTAGTAAAATAGCTATAATTGGCAATATTTTAATTGTTTTAGACAGTTTTGCTGAATATACTCTATTTTAATCAAATCGGCAATACTGTCCAAAAAGTAGTGCTGTCAAATGATTAATCACGATTAATCGCGTACAAAATAAAAGTTTTTGTTTGCATAATATATGTGTTCTGTCCATGTTAATTATGTATACATAAATACACACACATACAGTATATATTTTGAAAACATTTACATGTATTTACATGTCTATATTTATATCCATATAATTTATTATAAATAAATATATTTAATATATAAACATATTTTTCTGAAATATATACAGTGCCGTGAAAAGGTTTTTGCCCCCTTCCTGTTTTTTTAATTTTTTGCATATTTGTCACACTTAAAAGATTCAGATCATCAAACCAATTTTAATATTACGCAAAGATAATGCAAGTAAATACAAAATGCAGTATTTAGGATGTGATTAATCGCGATTAATCGTTTGACAGCACTACTAAAAAGTGGTAAAACAGGTCTAAAAGGTAAAGTTACTTAATCAAAATTCTATCATGAAGAAAATAAAACAACTAATGCAGTGCTGTTCATTAGAATACATAGGTAAGGATGGTGTATGTGTGTAAAGGGGATATTTGGGTTGTGTGTGTAGGGGGATTGTGGGATGAAAGCAGGGCACGCGTGCTTAAACCTCTGCGCTGTTAGAACAATCGTTCTCCTCTCCATCTCGACCCGCTTTTCAGATTAAGTTTATTGCACAAATTCCACATCAGCTTACAGCACAACGTCCGATCTAACGTCTTCAAAACACACTCCTGCTAAACCTAGTTTAAATTAGAATTCATACAGACAAATCCAAACCAACATTAGAAAAGAAAACCATTTTACTTTTATTTCGACGCATTTACTTTTATCTTTGAGGATATGATATAAAAGTTAGTTTTTGTGAGATTTTGCAAATGTCTGGAGACATCTTTTAGCAACTGTGTCCCTGGAGGATAGTTAGAATGTTCCTAAAGTTAGAAACACACAAAGAGGCATGGTGTGAGAGGGTTTCATTCCAGTAAATTGTCCTGTTTTGTGTGTAAATGAGTGCTCAGGCCCAGCTGACACAACACTGAACATTCTGATAACACAAGCCTTCTCTTCTTCCTCCATTCACTTTCACAAAGCCATCTAGTGGTGTACAAAGCTACTCACTTTTCATACTTTTCAAGTTCCAGTTATTGAGTTCAAAAGTTTCTCCATAATCACCTAAATAACATGAATAGTCTTTTTCTTCTCAAACATTACCTCTGCATAGGACACATACAGTAAATCTTTAAACATGGCTGGGAATATACTAGAAAGCACCATTTAAAAGGGCAGATCAGACAAAAATTTAAACTCTGTCATCATTTACCAACCCTCATGTCATTCTAAACTTATTTTACTTTCTTTCTTTCAAAAATGTATCTTGTGTGGTTTTTTTTTAATATAGCGGAAGTCAATGGTAACCAAAACTGTTATCTTTTATAAACTAATAACTTTTTTTTTATATTTCACAAAAGTCATACAAGTCTGAAATGACATGACTGTGAGCAAATCATGAAATAAATATACTTTTAAGTTCATTTCAATATTAACATGGCAAAACAAGGTGCCACATTAATTCTGAAGCATAAATCTAGTGTTTAATGAAACATCATAATTTATGAAAATAGTTTTCATTTGTTTAGATAATACAACTTGTGTTTTCAAGGTAAAAATAAACCAACACACCAGTCTTTCATCGTGACATTTATCACAATCTTCATTGCCACATGACTTTATTGACCTTGTATTTTGTGCATTTATACATGGTATAATACTGGTACCATTTAATCTTATTACACAAATATGAAGAATTTGAAAAGTTCCATGAACCACTTTTTTTATACAATACCACTTTAAAAGTCAGTCCAGCAAACTGGTCTTTCATTCTCCAGTTTCAGTTGTTGCTTGTTACAAAGTAACTAGATTTTAGCAACAGTGTGGCAGGTTCTAGCAACGCTTGTCAGCAGTTTCCATTAGATACTGTTTTTGGTTCTTGGCACTAAAAGTTTCTTCTTGTACCATAAAAACACCTCAGCCATGACTTTTTTTTTTAATTCTTTCACTGTGTTGATCACTTGTTGCTAAGCGTCTGCTAATTTCAGCAGCAATCGTATTTATAATCGTTCTGAACACTGATCATCATGGATATACTGTACTTCTGAGGCAGCCAAGTCAAAGGTCACAATGGTCACATTAGGGTTCAAAGGCCAAACCAGCAGCAAACTCCACCAACGTACGTGTAGGTCTTCCAGACATTCCTTTTCTCAGGTATGGAACTTCATCCTTATTGGTCATGACGCCGGCAATGTCGAGATGAGCCCAATGATCAGCGGTCACAAACTCTCTCAGGAAGGCTGCGGCAGTGCAGGCACCACCTGAACTGTGAGGTCACAGACCAGTTCAGTATTATGGCAACCAAAAACAAGCACAGTAATTACTACAGATTACAGAAAAAATACACTGCTGTCCAAAAGTTTGAAGTTGGTAAGAATTTTAAATGTTTTGAAAGAAGTCTCTTATGCTCACAAAGACAGTATTTATTTGATCAAAAATAAGGTAAAAACAGTCATGTTGAAAAATAATTGTATTCTGGATGCACCGATGTATCGGCCGCCGATATTTATCGGCCGATTTTTGATTATTTTAAAGCCATCGGCATATCGGAAATAGCATGAAAAGGGCCAATACTGATGGTTTATTAATTAACTGCATGGAGACAACGAGTTGCATGTCTGTTGCATAATCCAACGTTTTTCTCTGGGCAAAATAATTAAATACTTGCCAAAACAAAATAAAATCTGTACAAAATATAGTTTGTCAGACAGCATAGTACGGCCATAAGCAAACATGACTTCGCAAACGTGTAAATTTATCATCGGTAAGTCACAATGGCAATGCACCGGCGTTAGAGTTTATCCGAGGATATGTCACGAACCGCCACATTATCAAAATAAAATACAGTTAAAGAAGCATAAAAAGTTACACTGCTCATAGTAGTCCGTAGTACAGTCTGTGCCGTTCAGCGTGACCAGCGCCTCACTGCTGATATAGCTGATATAGCAAGGATGATGTTTTACGTCAATAATACGAGTGAAGAACGAAGCCTATAGTTTACATAATATACATAATAATAGCATCCAGATACTTCACGAATATGGAAACATTTGGATTCGTGCAGAATGAGAGAGATAGGCTTCAGTTTTGTTTTTAAATTAATTTGTTTTGGCTCGACGCTTATATTTAGCCTAAATACAACTTTAGAGGATTTGTTGTGGAGAGACGGGAACTAAAATAGCCTAATTGTGTTTGTAATTTTGCTTTTATTTACCATTA